GTGTTGCGTTTAATCGCCCGTCTGCACCCGCGCTGCCAGTTTTCTCGCGTGGAAAGTGATCATTTGCGGATGGAGGAAAGACGTACGGATGGCACTTTCCATGTTTTCCATACGTTTAATTTGACAGTAATGAGATGTCATTAGCATGTGTGGTCAACATCATGTTTTCTTGGGTTTGATTACTTGACTAGGCTTTTTGGTTTGTTTTTGTTGGTAATTAAGTGTTGTAGAAAGAAAGTTGGGTTTTCTGTTATGTTAGCTAAAGGTAGCGGTTTGATTATGAAAAAATTACATTATTTTTATTCTTATTTGTATTTAGAGGTGGATAACATACCTAGTCGAATGCCTCCGTCACAACCTCCGTGGTAGAGTGGTACGAGAGTAAACTTTCGTGACGGATTCGAATTCCAGGTGGGACCGTAGTATAAGTAATATTAAATTCAGTATTATAATGACAGATGACAGACGCGTTTTATGGCTCACAATTTATGACACTATTGAGATGGTCAATTTACGAGTAAGTCCTTGATGGTACTATATTCCAATGTTTGGATTTTACAGAAATCTTTCTCAAGATATGAAGAAAATGCTGTTGTATGTTAGTTGCTTTGTTTAAAAATTGTTACCAGTTTTAATTATGGAGATCTATTTGTCCGGAACGCAGCACACATTCTGAGCATCCACGAGTACCGTAAACAAGTTAATTTAAGCCGAAGCACAGTCGGCTTATAAAATACTGGATCGCACGTACCCTTATATAGATTCTAGAGTCAATATCATACTTTTTGTTCCCATCACCATTCAGGCACTATCAGATACCTAAATTGCAAATAACTAGCAAAAGTAAAAGCAACCTTATGCCAATACACATAGAATACAAAATCGATTGCAGCTATAACATGCGCACGCGCAAAGATCGATCGTGACAGTTTCCTGTGCCCATACGGACTTTCCACTGTTCTCTTTACTTACATACTAGTTTTATTTACAACTTTAACTTTGCTCTTCATCTCGTCTCTATGTCTAATAGTTTTAAAGTCTAAACTGAAATGATTGGAGTGAAATTTAAATTAAATGTGATGGCCTTCAGTGATCCGATTGAAGGGCAAATACATTTATTATAGCCGATATAGATCTTTTAAGGTTTGTGTCAACTGATGTGAACATTAGCCCATTTGAAGCAATAAGACGAGTTGGTTGAAATCATTAGTCATTTGGGCAACCCATCCTTCCAGACAGTTGGAGTGATCACTCTGGTATACAGATTCATAATACTTAATATCAGATTCATTCAATTTATGATTCGCGTAGGTACCTTTTTTCAAAGATACTATATTATTCAGTTCCTTCGTTTCAGCCAAACGACATCCTCTGCTGGACAAAGGCCTCCCCCAAGGATTAAATAGCGACCGGTCCTGCGCTGCCCGCATCCAGGCTCTTCCCACGACCTTCACCAGATCGTCGGTCCACCTAGTGGGAGGCCGGCCCACGCCACGTCTTCCGGCCCGTGGTCGCCACTGAGAGAAGTTTTCTGCCCCAACGGTCATCGTCTCTACGAGCTATGTGCCTCGCTATTTTCAGTAATAATAATATAATCTATCTATTAGGTATTAGTCGCCAACCATTACTCCACAGAAAGGTTACAGACAGACACAGTTACAGTGAACTAATGCTACAGTTAAAATTACCTATAAGAACATCATAAGTACCTTGTACATTAGTCAGAGAAGATTAAGACAAACATTACTGTTATTAATATGTTGTTAAAGTAGGTAAGCTTGCCTTAATGTAGGACATTCATGGTATCTCTACCTCCTGACAAAAAAAACTAACAGTAACTTCCCATCAAAAAGAATGTAATTTGCAGAAGAAATAAGATGACTTGATGCGTGCAAAAGGGTACACAAAATTGATTTGGTACCCTCAAAGACTCAATAGGATTTGAAGTATATAAAAATTATAAATCGTGCAAAAAGAGTTGATACACACGCGTTACAATCTTAAACGCATCTGCCGTGGCTCTGTGAACTGTCCAATTATTTGTGTTCCCAAACATCAAAATGAATTGAATATCACGGTGGGTTTTAGCGGTTATTTGACGCTGATCGTGGCCAATCGGTCATCTTTGGGTAGGGCTACCATCCATCCAGTTTAAGAAGATGTCTGGACTTTGTTGACCTTTTATATTTTTATAAAGGTAATTTTCACAGACGAATAAAACAAATTCGCGAGCAGACGCTAGGTTATTTTTGCTATTTCGCCTTTGTTTTGTAAACTGTCGTCCGCTTCACACTGAAGGGAAGTCGAACCTTAACTTCAAACTCCTATGTTCTTCTGCTTAATTTCGTTGCGGGTTTAATGACAGTTTAACTTTCCCCAAACTTTTATTGGCGGTCATGCTGTAGATCCAGGTTATACAGGACTTGCAGCGGTGGGATCGAGAGGTGGATAGTGCTATTTTGGCCAGACTTTTTTGTAACACCCAGCTTTAAGTTTGGACTTTTCGAGTTTTTAGAGGGCAACCCTATCAGGTCTGCTCGACTAACAGACAATGATTCTCGCGTATTGTAGTATTTAGAGCGGTGGCCGTTCGGACGTGTTCATATTTCACAATTTTTGTACCGTTAAGAGTTTCCTAAAACAAATTGGCGAAGTCACGAACTTTCGTGCGAACGTCGCGACCTTTTCGAGGTCTCCGAATAGGCCAATGTCACCTTGAGTGGAAATATGAAATTTCGAAGAAAATTTCTGTAAATGGTTTTCCCTTTAAAAAAGTATAAGCCATTATAATGTGCTGATGCTTTTTAAAAATTTTGAGCTTATTTATCTTTCCCTGGATCTGTCATATTGAATTGCACCTGCATTCTAAATTTAAATGGCTCCTAACTCTACGAGTAAGTACAATTGTTACTGACCCAGAGTACTTCGGTGAATCTCATGGGTCAAGCGTAAAATTTGTCTCCCTTCCAAATCAAAATGTTACCAAAATTTCACACCAAAATTTCACAGATGGATCTTTTGGAGAAACGAATGAAACCTCGATTCGTTGGTGGATTGTCCGAGGCTCAATGGGCAAACACCGTTGTAGTACATTAGTAACGGGCCGAGATATTTCTCCGTTATTGATATTACGATTGAGAGGAAATAATTGTCGAGGCGTGCCGCAAAAAAACGAAGTTCAAGACCAATAATAAAGGGTAACCTGGTTGTCTGAACTTATTTCAAATTTGAAGCTATGTCATCACGAATCAGGATTCTGTCGGAGTCACGTTCGCTTTTGTCGTTCGAACTGTATTTGTTTGGTATTGAATTTACTGTGAAATTGACTTTGAATGATTGGATTAAGTTGGTTAGGTAATTGTTTAGGTCAGTAATCATTCTTGAGTTCTATTTCGATTGTGTGACAAAATAAGTTAAATTATTCTACTTGAAAAAAGTCGTTACTACCAATTAAGTTGTCGCCTAATTTTCTTTTTCGTTTCGGCAGTCACAAATAACTTTTCCTTCCACTTTTACGTAGAAATGAACCTATTATAAAACTAGTTTGATGCATGAAAATTCGCTAACCTGTAACGTTGAAAACCAGGGCACTGCAGGCCTGGCCCACATTTCCTTTTTGTTTTAACCCTCCAGCCTCGTCGGACTTTGAAGGCTACCCCTCAATGAATAGAACCGCTTTTCATGCACCCCCTTTGAGTTACCAGCTGTTTCCCCACAGTGTGGGTTACGTATAACTGGTGTAACCTACATACGGTGATCGTTGCGTGTCTTACATCGGATTTGTGAAGTCAAACGAAATTTTCCTGAAGTCGAGCTGCAATTGGGTCGTCCAAAAGTTAAATCGTTTTGTGGAATGTATGATTTTAAAAATTACACACGATAATACTGCGAATTTGGCTTGAAGATAAGTCAGTTTTCAAGGATTATTGCATAATTCTCATTCATTGCGAGCTTTTAGATATTAGTAGATGTAGGTTATGCTTATCGTGAGATGCAGTCTAGGATGGTACATAATATCTGCCCTGTAAGTGGCTATTTACTCTCGCCTTGATAAAACCCAGATTATAGTGTTCGGGAAAGACACACGCAGCAAATTACAGTCCTAGGGACTGTAATTGGCGTTATAGAAGAGTTTTATCTAAAACTAAATTTAAATACCTATTACACTTCTATAAGGTTTACGTCTAGCAGTGGGCTGCCATTGAAATTATGATGCTAAATCTTTAGGAGTGTCCAAATGACTAGATTCCCGCCCCATTGGCGTCATGACGTAACTGGTACAGTATCTGAATGCAGCTCAAAATACCAGTTGGGATGACATCAGCTATTCAGAACGCAGCGTGTGTCACGACCTGTCTGTGGTCCTTCGCCACATAAATCTTTGGACAGGACGTGTTTAGACGAGTTTTATTTGAGCCTGTTCGGCAACATTCTGGTGAAGTTAGTCATGGCGCTAAGGTCACAAATTCCGACTTAAGTTATTAATTTGACCTAGCATATTAATAGGTAATTAAAATATTTAATACGACTTGAATATTGATTCAATTTGGTACGCAACATCTTAGAACTTGCATAGTAATTTTTTTACCTGTATGCCTTTACATTGCTTTACTATAGTTTTATTGCCCACCGAATCTAAGAGCGATTTCCGTTTTAACAAATATTATAACCATTACTGCGCTAAACCAAATAACAGCGACGACTATCTCTACATAAGCTAACGACACCGAATGACCTTATAAAAAAAAACTTGCTGGACATTTCAATAAATACCTAAACAAAGGTTTTTGCAATAAATACACACACACCATGATCTCCTGTTTCTATAACGAGCCGTTGCCAGCTATCTTTTCGAGATAATTATGTGATTCATCCAAAAATCTGCGCATCAACTAAGGTTGACCAGACGCAAAGAGTTCCATTCGAGAACCCCTTTATTCCACCTTTTATCAATACCATAAGATTATAAAATAAAAGAGACAAACTTAAGCTAAACTTACCACCGCAAATGACATCAGCAAGATTGGTCTGCACGCATTGATGCGTCACTGCCCCGTCCCTGACTGTCGTGATCTCTCCATAGAGCTGGTGCAGCGCCTCCTGGTCGGACATCAGGATGGTCCTCGGTGAAGGACACTCGTCGTCCAGCCCGTTGGGGTGCCTGGAGGAAGACCTGGATCGAGACCGACGGCGTCTGTGGACAGGAGATGATGATGATGAAGTAGAGGTTTTGAGAGGATTTAAAAGAGAGATGGTATGTTCAATATTCCTAGTGCATATGGTTATATTTACTAAGAATATTGAACTAGAACGCTAACAGTTTTTGTTCTATCTCGCCCGTATTCACAAACGACGCTTGCTTAAGTGAAGCAGCAAATCGAACGCACAGCGTTGAATAGAGCTCTGTGATTGGTTTATGTGTCACCCTGTGCGTTTGTTAATGTTTGTGAATACGGGTGTTTATCTCTTTCGTTCACCGAATAGATCTTAGTTATCTCTCTGAAGAGATCACCATTCAAAAAATTGCTTATTCCTCCTAAAACAAACAGGTTAGGTAAGCTACCTACTAACCAAAAAGCTAGTTCAAAGATGATGCACTAGTTTTCAATATCGCACCAAAAGTAACGGTAATAATCGTAGATGTTCATAAGGTAAATATTGTTATTTAATAGAATGTAATAGATATTTCACAAGCAAACCTTGCAAAATAAAGCTGATACAGACTAAAGTAAATTGTAATAATAGAGTTCTTATACAATAAGCTGGCGGAATAATGACATTTGGACAAATCTTACAATTAGGTCTTCAAAGTAAAGAAAAGATGTATGAGATAATAAACGAAACATAACAAGTGCAACGTAACAAACGTCATACCGTTTAACCATTCACCTTATTGATTTTGATAATACAAAAAAAGTACGAACAAACCGATAAAAATGTAATATAATCGACAAAAGTTTTATATTATTATGATCCACACGTTCTAATTTAATTGGAAGACATTTGAAACTTGGACATTTTTTTATAGATTTTATGGGTTATTTTTTTGTTAAATTCCTGTATTTCATAATACTCTAACGTCATTGGCGTGCGATCTTCGGAATTGGTTTTGGCCATGATGAGCCGGATGTGTCAGTTTTTATCGATCATCATTAGGACGCCATCATCGGTATGGTTGTTATTTAGGTTCTTATTTGGAGAAAATAAGCGTGGCTTAAAAAAATAATGTCCGTAAGCACGAGCAAAAAGGTGGAGTTTTTAATGACGTTGTTGTGTCTGTTTTTATGTATTAAAGTACTCTAAATCCATTCGCTAATTTATGGTTAATGTGTAAGTACTTTTACGTATTTTAGGCTTCTCTCGAAATTCTCGAAAATGCTGACAGCTATGATAATAATGATAAAAATGTAAGTTAAATATTTCCGAATGTTATTATTAATTCTGGTAGAAAATAAAGTTTGCGTAGGTAATTTGATTTCTCGTAAGTAAGACTTAGCCACTTTTTTGTGGGAACAAATTTTGGACTCTTAGATTAAACAATAAGAACAAACAAAGGTATAAAATTCTACAACTCAATTTCACGGACATCAATAGATTACCTAATATTTATTCAATAATACTGCAAAATAATGTATTGCAGCATTACAGGTAACTTGAAGTAATTATAAATTGATTCGGCCTCACGCATTTTGTAACACACCTACGATCTGGGTTGCTAAGTGAATGGAAGAAAAATCACTTCAAGAGATGATAGAAGGACACGTTGATAATGCCAGTTTAAGTACAGAAACCGTTAATCTACGCCTACTACATCCATTTGAGACTACAGATCATAAATAGGTTATGACAAATAATTTGAAAAAATTGAAGCCGACTTGGTGCATTGAGTAACGAAAATTTTGGTACTAAAAGTAGCTTCTATGCTCTTAAAGTTGAAAAATAATAACAAAGCATTGAAGAAAAACGTTATTAATAACAATGAGATAGAGCTAAAGGATAAAGCCATTCTACACCTAATAATAACTGCGCCAAAAAGGCAATAAACTTCGTTGCACCACAAAATGGGGCTCTAAAACCTAATGTCTAGATTGTCTGGTCAGTACACGCCAGTATTAAATTTTAACAGGCGCTTTGATAAAGCTTTAATGTTTCTCCTTAATTTAAGTGTAATGCAAGTGTGAACAACACCACCAAAGATGTCGTTACAACCTTTTTTGATGTTCGCGCAATGTCAAGTTTGGCGCCAAAATTGGCAGGTTACTCATCAACATGGCCGTCCGTGGCGACATCTCGAAATGGCGTCATGAATCATCGACTGCACATTTTATAAATATGGAATGATCTACGGTTAAACTGGCTTACTCAAGGGCTATAATAACATTGTGGTGAACTCTATATTTACATTTAGATTGCATCGGCCGATTTTGAACACCATTTTCTATCGTGTGTAATAAACGTTGAGTCACAGTTTTTGAGGGCAGCAAATATAATCGATCTACTTTCAGTGACACTAAGTATTTAATTAATTACCCTTTTTGTTTTTTTTCGCGACCGTTATCTTAATTTGACACTACATGACAGGGCAATTAGAGGACTTGTTTTTGAATGTGAAATAAGTTTAAGGTTAATTTGTTTTTAAGAGTTATGACAGAGATTGTGCCGATTATCAACGGATGCAAGACTTGAAAGAATCGTCGGTGTTTCTGATATTTATTGTATCCGCATATTAAATGCAAAGGGAGCAGTAATCGAGATGACCGTGATTGCCATAAAAGCAGTTTTTTCTTACTTAAGTTTTCCTATGAAGAAACATGTTTTGTAGGTCAATCTTCCTTTTCAAACTTTTATAGTTGCAAAAATACGCAATTTTAATTAAATATTACACAAATCTGATTAACATATTAAGACCATTAGAGAAGCATAGTGACTACTTTTATTGCATGGGTTTTTTCGCTAACGACTACTTTTTGCTACTAATTTCTCATTCGCAACAAATCATGGTGAAGTAATAATAAACAATATTGAATAGATTATGGAATGTTAAGTTGTCTAGCTAGAGCAAGAGACCAGCATTCATTTGGATCTGCGCAAGCACTTGGCGAAATATATTGACGATCTCATCTCAAATCATCTGATGTGGTGCAAAGACAGAGAGGATCAATAAGCCACAAAACGCATGCTTGCCAGATCTTTAGTAGGCACATGATAAGGTCTGTTAAATGTTGATCTTTTTCGTGATTTATGTCTTTAATATTTTTATTGAAATTGTTACTCACTCTGGCGTGACTATGAAGAACCCTCGCGAGGTCTGGTAAATCTTCCTCTCCTGCATCAGCTGGGCCAAGGTATCGTACACCATCTCCTGGGAAGGCGTCTGCATCGACGGGAACTTGGCTGAGAGTGACGTCCTGATGCTCTCCAGGGTCGCCGATTGCCCCTGGAAGGAATGGGAGCGTTGGTATAAAGGGTGGAAACGTTAAGTGTGGTGGTTTTATTGTTAAGTGCTCTACACACTGAACTGACTTTTGGTGGCGTAATTTGGGTGTCGGTTAAGATAATGTTTTGACGAAAATATTCTTTATGATATTATAGTGTCGATACTAAACTGATAAATAAATAACAATAATCAAAATTGTTTATCATGCCCAACGAATAATTCACGACTAATATTTTTGGAACAATCGCATTTGCAGTAGCACCCCTAAAATGCAGCTTGAATGCGGTGCTTTTTAACCGACTGCGCCAGAAAGAGGGTTATTTATGCATAAAGATACAACCTACTAGGTTAGTGAGCATCTGTTTTCGTGGGTAGAGCACTTAAAACCAGTATTTATCCCACACTTAACGTTTCCACCCTGTATTTATGATCTAGGGAAACTTTCAGAGACATTGTTAGATCTGCACAGTAGACATATTTTTACCTAAATGTTTGGTCTTATTATGGAGTAAGATTGAAATAAAGAAAAAAATTAAGTTTATTTTCTTCGCAAAATATTATTGGAATTATAAATATTTTTCAGGTCCATCAAGACTTGAAATAACAGACTTGGGACTGGAATTCGCTGCCAGCTGCTGTCTTTCCCGGAGACTATAATTGGGGTCTTTTCAAGGCGAGAGTGAATAGGCACTTACAGGGCAGATTACCATCCTAGACTGGATCTTACTTACACTAGATGAGATTGTGGTCAAATACTAATAAAATAGTTTAATTCAACAACAAACTTATTCACTATCTCTAAATCATCTTAACCTTTTATTAGTTACGACAACCAACGTTAGCCAAACAATACGATAACTATCTAAAACATCTACTTATACTAATAAATTGACCAGGATGTCTTCATTGACAAACTCATGTCGACCTTCAACGATATTTGGGTGGCATTTAGCATTCAACATAGATTTATTTTTGATAAGAATCACATGTACAATAGATCTAGAGATGGCCATGGGCGCGCCTTAATTCTATGCTGCTTTTAGAATTCGATCATGAATTGTATCTTTTTAAAGCACGTAAAGTCAATCAAGTGGGCGGGGCACTTAGCTCGTAGAGACGATGGCCGTTAGGGCAGAAAAGTTCTCGAGTGGCGACCACGGGCTGGAAGACGTGACGTGTAAAAAGTGTCAGATAACGAAAATCAATTCAACTTCAAGAATTCCAAATCCATTTTTGCCATAGAAATAAATTCGCAATATCATCAACAATTAGTCAAACTTCGCAAACGGAATGTCGCGATATTTAATAAATTGTACGGCATAATTAATCGCTCCGATCTTATCATAGAACATGGCCCATAAACTATCTCATCGACCTTCGGATTACTGGTATAGTCAGAGCCATGTTATTATTATAGTTCGTGACACCCAAAGTGGCCAAAAAGTTGACAACACAACCTTTTTTTATGCAGAACCACAGAATAAGTTCAAAGTGGGTTTGACTGCAATCACACCATGAGATGCAGTTTAGGATGGTACACATACCTAACCTATGCCTATACACTCTCGCCTTAAATTTCTCTCCCCAAACCTATGTTAGGTTACCCTAGCAACGCCCTAGGCCGAGGTCCGAGCCCCACTCGGGGGCGCCCTTAGGCTCGTTGCTTAAATTTTGAAGTTGAGAGCCATCTTCACCTGTCCGGTGAAGCTGAGAAAGCCGCTCACGACTATCAGCAAAGTCATTTCGAAAAAAAATCTCGCCTTGAAGAAAATTTGAATTGTAACAAAGACGTGTTGCGAACTTTTTGGATACCTTAGCTGTCGAATTATTTGACGCTGACTATACTGTATTAATGAGTTTGCATTGTGCAACTCTAAATTTATGGTGCGCGTAACTTGCCGGTGCGTGTTGCCGACTACCCTGATTTATGTGGGAGTTTTACTTGGAAAATTGCTGAGATACTAGATTAAGGCTGGGTTGCACCATCTTACTTTAACTTTGACAAACGTCAAAAATCTGTCAAACTCTATACAAAAAGCACTGGTTATCGTTATAGTTACGGTCAAAGTTAGGTGGTGCAACTCAGCCTATGTAAAGTCCTGGCTGGTCGCAATTGCTAGACAACAAAAAAAGTTTACGAAATGTTGCCAGGATAGAAATAAAACATGGTTAAACAAAGGTTTGACACGCGAGTTGTATTTAGGTACCTATAATATTATTATTTATCCATTAATTTGATCACGAGTAAGGTAATTAATAAACCTAGGTATGCAAAAAAATCACTCAATATTCGATGAGCATAATTATCACGATGCGGCCATTTCAATCTCCGATATTTTTTACGAGACGAAAATACATTTGAAATCGATACTAGCAGCTAAAGATAAAGTTAATCGATTTCATTAGCAATGCAATGCAAACAGAAATGTGGAATTATAACGAGATTGATTTAGAACCGTTTGGATTCACGAGAATTCAGCCCACCTGCGCATTTAAGTTCCAATGATAGTGTTGTTTGGGTATTGATAAGTTCTAGTCGTGGCTTCAAAAGTTTGGATAGGGACGACTCTATGCTTTTGGTACCTAAGTAAGATACTAATTCCAGTGTGTAGGTAGTAGCTGTGCTCGCTAGTGATTGCGTAAAAATATACAGCGCCCCTAGAAGTTAATTTTGAGAACTAAAATCTTCGCAGATTTTTAACGCACTCGTTAGCGATGACGTTAAATGTAAACTCATAGTAAAGCTACAGAGGAAAAATACAGAAGTTCTTAATCTCAGCAAAAGCTTTTCTTTCCCATTAGTTCCATTTTAAATATTTTCAGTTAAAGATTAAAAAAAAGTTTTGACAAGTCGCACTTGACAGTACTAGCAATTGGCATATCGATAGTTTTTTATCATTTATCAACTAGCCTCACTAGTTCACTTTGTCTTATTTAAACTATGCAGTTCATTATTAACTTTTTTGCAATCGTTAACATAGTTATTTATCTTTAATGGCGGTTAATATACTCAAATTTAGTCTAATCACATAATGATAGGTTTGGAATTGCTGTATTTTCATGGCTAACTTTTAGATGTTTATTTAATTAGAACAATTAACACTGTTGGGGTAACTACAACGCGATGTGAGCGCGACGTTACCGCGACGCTACATAATATCAATATACACACGCACGCTACCCACTTATGGCAGTCAATTGTTATTTCCAGAGTCCATTTTGGCCTGATTTAAAAAAACATTACTTTTTACGGAATTTGAATTTGAAGATAAATATAAAATTCCCGCAGCGTTTTTTACGCCAACACATAAATTGAAGATTTAGGTCAAAATGACCTGCGCAGTGAAATGAGTTTATGCAATGCGCAGCTCAGTGTTGTTCATCTCTAAAGATTCGGCTAAACCAACGCGATTAGCCTGCGTGCGCGATGTCGATCAATGCGTTTAAGTCTGTTTCGGTTAGCACGAAAAACTTCCGAGTTCGAATCGTTTGCGTATTCGAATCGCCATCAAAAGATTTAGTACGAAAACTACAACAGCGTCCTTGTGAACGTGTCGTAAAGTAAATTCGAAGACGAAAATTGTTCATGCTAGAGGTACTGATCGCCATCGTAATCGCGCACGTCAGATGATGGCGTTGGCTTGGGTTAACCTTAATTTAAGCTCAAGTCGCGTTACAGTCATGCTAGTTGTATGCTGACCGCTTTAAATAAGATACCAAGATTATTATTGTGTCAATTCCTATTACTCTTGTACCTAATAGAGTGCATTTACTTGTCTACAACGTTCCGAATAAACAAGAATATATTGTCTCCGCCTTGATTGATACTTTGTAACTTAACCAGGCAATGCAATCAGTCAAATTCCTAAAGGCCTGAACATTGAACTGGTAATTACACACATATCTGGGCCTATTATAACCTGGTTTCGTTTCCAGTCGCAGTATGCAAATTTCTTTCTGCCACATTCCGGCCCACATAAGGTATTCAGGCAGACCTGTCTGCGTGTTGCGATTGTGACACAGTATAGTTTCTAACAGTAAGCTTTTTGAGTAAACTTAATGAAATACATGAAATGTGGTAGTTTAAGGCTTTGTCCGAATTCCCATGGTTCTTATTATTAAGGCAATCGATATTAGTAGATTATTTAAGTGGGTATGCTTCATCCTTCTGATGAGGTCATGAGGGGAGCTTCACATATCCTACCCTGTCCCCGCAGGGTTCATAGATTTTTCCCAGAAAAAAAGGGGGATCTGAAAACTTAAGCGAACCAGATTTATTTTATCTTGGTTTTTTTTTTATTGCTTCCAGTTTCTTCTGCTTTTGAGTGGATTGTTGTAACCATTGAATCACTACCAGTATCAGGCTATAAGACGCCATTTTTTAATCATTTGGGTAGGAAAACGCCGTTTATGATCATTACCACGCTTAGTCATTTTCCGGCAAGGGATTTGTTGACAAAAACTTAAGTGGCGTACTTACTTACAATTGTAATATGATGCTTATTTTATTTTAATACAGCTAATTATCTGTACTTACTATAACAACAAAATCATAATTATTCGTAACAATACCGGACCTTCTGACTCCATCGGCATAGCATAGGGCTTGCAAAACACTTTGACAGCTCAGTACCTACGATACCGATTGTTTTTAATCAGTTTCGGCGAGACGATTCGATTCGGTCCAGATCGGATCAGTTGATACGATTTAAATGTCGAAGTATGATAATTGTTTTGTAATCGTTTTGTAATTCACTTAGGTGAGTGTGACAAAATAGCGTAGAACTGTATTGATTTGTCACCATATGGTCTCATTCGTAGACCTGTATCAGTGAGTTGGTCCAAAACTATAGGTAGTTATCAAAATCATGGCTTTTCTAATGTGGAAATCTTCAGGAGATACTATTTTCTAGGAGTGCACAGCATAAGAACAGCAAAGTGTTTAGTTACACATTATTTTTTGAATTTATCTCACAACAACTTTTTAACTTCGAACGCCCCCTATGTTCTTCTGATTTCGTTGCGGGTCCAATGAAAGTTTAACTTTCCCCCGGGATAAACTTGATCTTCATGGGTTGCAGCGGTAGGAAAAAGAGGTTGGAATAGTACCATTACAACTACTTTTTATTCCAACGCGCATTTCATTCAGACACAACGTATAAACTTTATGGTTTTATATGTATATAAAAAACAGGTTCACACTCCTGACCCGTGATATTCGCCACACTTCACGGTCAAGAGTCACGGTATGGTATAAGAGCGATCACGGCGAATATTGATGAACGTGTTTGGATGTTACCTAAGCCTTGCCAAACTAGTTCGACTAGTCTTTCTGATGAAAAAAGTTGGGATATGTAGGTAAGTTAGTTCTAGCGCTAGTGTTAAATATTATTTTGATTATAATGAAAAAATAAGATCTGTGCTAAAGCTCTTTCGACTCTTCTTTCTTTACTACAGACTAGTTTAGATTATTATTACATAATGATGTTAATTTGATAAAAGTAAGTTTCTAGTATGTTACTAGGTATATTGAAACTAATTTTAACTCGAGTTAAAGTTTAATATAAGTAGTGGCTACATACGAGATGACGTGATCTTTTATGTTCCTATTTTTGTGTACACCGTGTACCGGGCAGGTCAATTCTTTCACTGAGTGCCCAAGTAGGTACTAATTCCCCTATTATGTGAGAACCAAAAAGTAGTCCAATCGTGACTTATAAATTAAGGAAAATGCATTGTTATTGACAAGTCATAGGCTTCGCACGATCGAACTTCCGACAAATATTTTGTGCCCAATATTATTGTACTAGCTGTGCTCGCGGCTTCGTACGCGTGAAAATTGTATAATATTTTCCGTTTTGGCAACATTTTTCTTTACTGCTCCGCCCCTATACGCTGTAGGACAATGTTTACGTTTACTCCATAGGAGATTTTCTTAAAAATAAGACATTATAATAAAATAAATTATAATTTTAATTAATTAATGTAGGACAAAATTTAAAATTTGCATGCTGTAATTAAGTATGGCTAAATAGGCATAAGTACAATAACTTAAAAATGTAATAACACCCACTTTGTGAAACCCTATTTAATGCAAATAAATTATATTTGATTATATTTGATTTGATTTGATTTGATTTATACCTAAAGCCTTCCTCAATAAATAGGCTATCCAACACAAAAATATTTTTCAAATCGGATCTGTAGTTCCTGAGACTAGCTCGTTCAAACAAACAAACTCTTCAGCTTTTTAATATTAGTAAGTATTGATATTTTAGGGTTTTGTGTAGAAAAGCGTGTTTAATAACCAAGTGCTGTTATTTCGAGTATTTTTGAATGGGTGAAAGCAATCCGAGTGCATTTGTGATGCCATATCTGAATCAATTGTTGCTTGGCCCGGTTCTCATGCACTGTTTTTGTTACTCTTACTTGATTGTATGATAAAATTTTAGGCTAATTAGAATGATGGTGCTCGTGTAATTACTTTTACCCAGTTCCGTGGCCTTTTTAGATCGGAAGTAATACATTTCCCCTTTCGGAATTGCTAAAATTATATCTGGAATTACCTACCGTTTGTAATAAATCTGTATTAAAAGATAAAAGAAACTAAGAAATTGTCTCATCATCCTCAGGATGTCATCCTCATTACTTTGATATCGCCCTTCATCATCATCATCATTCAGCCACAGGACGTCCACTACTGAACATAGCTAGGCCTCCCCCAATGATGTCCACATCGTCCGGTTGTTCCTTAATACCACAAATAAAGGTACACGTTTCTGTCTGTTCGATATCTTCAAAATTTAGACCACAATACCTGTACACATTAATGTTCCTTATTACCTGTGACGTAAGGTCCATGATGCAGTCGCACAGCGCCTCGGGGAGCGGCGTGAACTGACCCTGGTAGGCGGGCGTCACTATGCAGTCTTCGATGTCACCTGGAACAACGAGAAAATCATTATTAGTATGAGTTTTGTGCTCAATTGCAGAGGAAAATTCTTTAAATTAACCTTGTATTGGCTAATGCTAAGTAAAACAAATTGGTTGATGTATACGTTTATTTATACGTGAATAGGTACGAAAGTTTTAACTTCTATAACGGTATGTCAAGATAATTGTTACTTGACCAACATTATCTGGCTGTTGAACTTTAATGATACGCGTTTTACTTAAACTCGTATGTAACTTATTTTTAGTCTAACACTGAGCTAAGTTAACTTTATTCTATTAAAAAGTTACTGAACTTCTAGCAAAAAATTCTTTCAGTACCTATTAAAGCATAAGGAAAGCTCAAAAGTAAGCTGCTGTTCAAATCTTATCCAATTTAGTATGCAAAACAAAAAAGAACTTCCCACAGACTGCATACTAAAAAATCTAGACTGCAGGTGTTTAAAGAACCAGCCAGTCTGGAAATTAGCCACAGTTTAAGTGTCCCGCACGTGTCCCGACTCCCAAGTAGGAGTAGGAGGTATGTGGATGCAACGGGAGCTTCGTCGAGGGAGGTACGTGCCCATAAATTGCTGGCATAATGCAGTCTACCCCAAGGGAGACTGTTGGACGACATCCAATACTGTGCGTGGTCTAAGTTGGGAGGTGTAGCGGGAGAACATACTTATGTAGGTCTATAGCAGCGATTTTTAAACTGTTGTGAGTCGTAAGGAAGACAATCAAAGGTCTAAACGAGTGATTTCCAAGTGACAACCAACTTACAGCAAAGAGTCATAAGTAGAACTTAAAAATTTACCTTGAAGAGATCACACCCTGAAAAGTGGCTTTTAATCTAATAAGAAAAACAGAAGGCATGCAAAATAATATTCCTTAAAATGGATGAACCGTTTTTTAAACCGCCGTTTACACGGCGGCTAGGAGAATTATGACAGTGCGGAAAGCTAGGAAAGCTCGGAAGTCTAGTGGCGGTCGTTGTACGAGTAGAGCAATAAAAACATGCAATTTTTAGCGACGCATAATTTTTATCTGAGTTACCAATTTTTTTTATCTAGATTAAGTGTTGATCTTTATTTTAATGGTATGTCCCATTATCTTTTTATGCGCTGAGTTCTAAAATCTTCAACGTTTTGTAGTTCCGATAACCGCTGCCGCTTATGCCTTGTCGCGGTCAAGGTGCGGATGATTGCGAGCGGATTTCAAGCGGTATTACCATAATGTCCGCGATGATTCAGTTAGAGCGATGACTCTCATCTGCCGAGAGTTATGAGATAACTTACTGGATATTTTTGGTTTTAATTTCTTTGATAAACGGTTTTTAACGCCAATTCTGTGTGGGACATCTGTGGGCTGCGTATGAGTTTACATTAAACGTCCTCACTAGTGAGCGCGTTAAAAAATTTATGAAAACTAGCAGCCGCCCGCGACTTCGTACGCGTGGGTCCCGTTTTACCCCCTTAGGAGTGGAGTTTCGTAAAATACTTTCTTAGCGGATGCCTACGTCATAACATCTACCTGCATGCTTCAGCTCGACGCACAGCCCACGTCCAGTGGTTTGGGGTGTGCGTTGATAGATCACTATGTCAGTCAGTCAGTCAGTCAGTCAGTCAGTCAGTCAGTCACCTTTGAGTTATATATATTTAGATTTTAGTTCTTGAAAGTTTCCGCTAGGGGCGCTGTACAATACTAAGCCTGGTTTCATTCATGTAATAAGTCTGTCTGAATCGAGGTTCTGGGGCTAACGGAATTTAAATTAATGAATGGTTAATTATATTAAATAGAAATACCTGATTGCGGTCTTGTATTCAATTATAAAAAGAGTTCAATAGTTACTAGTAGAACGTCGCGGGTCTTGTACTTAATCAATTTAATTAGTGGCCATGACAATAATTTGATGTATTAATCATTGACTTTAATCCCTCCAGCCATAACAGTTCAATTTCCCAGCAATTTGCTTTGAGGGAACCATGTTTAGTCGGTAATAACAATTTAATTAGAATTACGTTTTTTAGGTTATTCCGTAAATGAAAAATATTTGAAAGATAATATTATATTGGGGATATGCTCGCTCAAGATTATGATACCGACCTATTTGCTGACAGTTTTGGGCAGTTGTGTTGCAAAGCCTTTTCGTTTATTAATGACATTTGTACTTAATTAATATTGTGTGACTTGTTTTAATGTTTATTTCTGACTGCAATGATTTGTGTTGACTTGACTGTTTTACATTATGTTCTTCCTTGGACGCCTGTTTCTGGAGCTATGACTTGTATTTAATGACCATATTGATGATAATGTATTTTATTTTTGTATTTGATTTGACATGCTAATCCTGATTTATGACATGCAACTAAATGTAAATTAATTATATTATATGTATGTGTTTTGGATCTGTCTGTAAACATACATTTTCTGATAATAAATTAATAAATAAATAATTCTCCATTAACGGCATTAAACGGCTTGCTGTGTCTTTGTCTATTTCGGGATAACACATTTATCGAGATGGTGAGAGGACTTTTTCCCCTTTTTGTCCCTTTTATTTTACCAATAAAAGATAGAGATAGAGAATTCATTATCGTCAGTGAAGTTCTAATAGTACGTAAGTCAAAAATGTGCATTTTACAGGAGATTGGTCAGAAAAAAGCACGCGGTCTTTCTTCATCCAATGGCATCAAAATGTTAAAACCGTCAAAAAATTACTTACGCACTGTTACTTCTAACGTCAGTGATTTCAACTGGACATCTCAAACTGAATGAATCCAAACCGTGCTATAAAAACAACAGTTTCCATGAAACTGGCTAGGTTGTAATTGTTCGCTTATCGTAGAATTGCTGACGACCCAGCCGGCTGCTCGAAAACAATGGCTGGTCTAATGAATGAGCTGGGTAGTTTTATCTAGGTTTATAACTGGGCTAGCTATCTCATTGATAAATTTTGAATAGCCGATGTGAAATTTTACTCTAATAACAACAAAAAGTTTATGGAGTGACATTGGGTCTAGTTGTCTACCGGAGTGACTGTGACATTCGACTGGTATAAGTCGACTTAAATGTATTCTGTCGACAGCATCAAACTAAGAATGTTTATTACAAAATAGTAATTGTTATTAGAAGGACATAATTGAATCAAGCTAAAAACTGGGACCAGCAAAAGGCTGATATTGTCCGTAATCACATATAATGTTAAATGTAGAGATGGAATCTAGGGTTTGGTTGTTTTTTATTAAAGTTTAAGCAGTTACTACCTTTCTCTAAAAATAGGTACTTACAGAGATATGTACACCTAGAGCTGTCAAGTTTCAATAAAAAATAGTAAACAGCTGTTACAAAATCAATGTAATCGAACCCCATTTTTGCAATGTCACCTCATCATTTTAATTCATAATCTATTTATACCTTCGTGCCTTTCTGATTACTCGCGCCGTTTCTATTTACGTTATCGCTATGTCACGTGACTTGGCGTTTTTATTTGCCTACGAAATCAGCCGTGGAGCTAATGAGTTGTGAACATAGTTTAGATGCGCAAGAACATCTATCGGGAAGCACGTACTTCGCCTAATGGAAGGATGTTGAATATTCAATACTTATGTTTGTCTGTTTTAAGCTAACAATGCTAAATTAGCATTACATCAGTACCGTAAAAACAAGTTAGGATAACAAATTCAATGGTTTAGAAGACATTAACATTCTATCAACTTTGTCTGTTGTCTTCACATTTAATTTATAAATTTGTTAATAATTAATTATTGAGAATTTTCTGCTTAGATGTTGCGATTGCGGTCAAATACCTGCAGAACAAGCACAAGCAAAAAGATATCAATAAGAGAGAAAACGAGAACCTAGAAAACCAAAAACTAAGGTAGAGTTTGGAAGCTAAAAAACGATTCCATAGAGCGGTGGATATTCTGAAAAACTGAAAAAACACCCAGTTTTAGCAGAAATATGTGGGTACTACTGAAAATGTCTAACTACTACCTACTGAAGTTTCTTCCGGGACAAACTTTAATTTCACTGGTTGGGTTTTTATTGGTGGTCAAGCTGTAGATGCTGGCTACACAGGAGTTGCAGCGGTGGGAAAGAGAGGTGGGAATAGTCCCGTTTACCGACAGATGATAGGTCCGCTAAGCGTCAGTTAAAAACTTAGTGAGCTTTTAGCAACCACAGTGATCAGTATTACATAATTAAGTCAGCAGTCAAGTAAAGCTTCTCGTAACGTTGCCTATGTAGGAACAGCGTTTATCGTTGAGCTTTCGGCGTGTTGACAGACAGACTAACGAGCCCGCTGTAGTATCTCGTCTTTATGTTCTAACCCTTTTAGGGCTGGCAATCACTGAAATATATCCTGCAATATAATGAAAATGAATCATCATCATCATCATCATTTCAGCCACAGGACGTCCTCTGCTGAACATAGGCCTCCCCCAATGACTTCCACATCGCACGGTTGGTAGCGGCCTGCATCCAGCGCCTTCCTGCTACCTTTATCAGGTCCTCGGTCCACCTTGTGGGTGGACGTCCCACGCTGCGTTTTCCGGTACGCGGCCTCCATTCCAGAACCTTGTTGCCCCATCGGCCGTCATGAATGAATGTGTCAATTCAAAAATTATAGAAAGGGACAACCGTTAGGAGTAAGCTTATTATCTGATTAAACCCAGTTTTGATAAGCACGCGGTTAGTTTGTCGCTTTTTTAGGGTTCCGTAGTTCTGACAAGGAAGTCTTCATCATTTCAGACATAGGACGTCCACTGCTGAACATTATTATTATTATAAACAACCCTTTTTATTTAAATAAAATCGATTTGTTTTATCTGGACTGAATTTATATCATGGAATGCCGTAAAATTGTGTTTTATTGCCTGCCTCTATAAATATTTCTTTACTTCTCGTTTTCTTCTTCTCTTATTCTGTTTTAAGAAGTCTGAAATCTTTGTCCTTATCTCTGGTTAAATTAAAACCCCTTTTCTCACGGTAAAACAAAAACGTAGGCGTTTACTGTCTCTTAATGTTCAATCGTTAAGTCGGCAACCCTGTGTCTTCTCTTCCGCTATATTGTAATTTTATTAGTGTAATGTCACAGTTTTATAATGGTTTACTCGCAAACTAGCCGGTTAATTTGTAAACACATAAAGTTTGTAATCGATGGATTGTGCTTTTCCTTATTAAGTAATAAGGTATTGAGGTCCTTGCGAAGAAACAGCATTCTAATGCATTTGAAATGAGTACGTATACTTACTTTTGTTTATGAAAGAGGAATGTAGATTTTGAATTAGATGAAATATTCGACAATAAATGAGGCAATTATGTTGCTCAACATTTACTTACATGTGATGTTCCTCTCAATAAGTTAGAGTTGATTTACACTTCAATATGGTACTTTGTACTACATTGGACATCTGAAAATAGTGGTCCACACAGTAGGCCTTGATGGAGGATGAATAATAAAGTGAAAAAATTGAAATTTAAAAGCATTATTGCATTTTCTTTCAGGTAAAGTACTCTTAAGGCTCTACATACTAAAATAAACGATTTAACTCACGGCCTAAAAAGTACCATACTTTGCAGCGCTGTAGTTCAATTTTCATATTTAGCGTTATAAGATTATTTTTTCGCAATCTAGCGTTACAATGCAATGGAAACAATAGCACGCCGTAGGGCAGTCTTGACCTGCACTGGCCCACGGCCTAATTGAGCCCGAGTGCTCTACATCCATTGTCTCAAGTGCACAACTACCCTCAATTCAATTTAGGCGATTCAGCAACTTTTTAAAAGGTTAGGAGCGTTGAAGGATCTTTAGTTCGGTTAAGGGTGCATTTTGGGAGAGTGAAATTGAGTTTGAATATTGTTTATGGTAGTATGGAATTAAGTAAAGCTTTATTATATAGGGAACATTGCCATGTTGTAGTGTTACTATTTAATGTTCTGTGGTAATTGGCCCCGAAACAACCTTAATATATAATTTAAAAATAATTAATTACAATTTCTCATAAATAGCGTAACGTCGCCTTACTAGAAGTCTTACTTATATTATAAATGCGAAAGTTTGAATGTTTGGATGTCTGGATGTCTGGATGTTCGTTACTCTTTCACGCAAAAACTACTGAACGAAATTTTGATGAAACTTTACAGTATTATTGTTTATAATCAAGAATAACATATAGGCTATAATTTATGACGATCAAACGAAATTTCACGCGGGTGAAGCCGCAGGCAAAAGTTAGTTTTCAATAATTTTGTGAGCAATTCAATTCGGCACATGAAACCTTATTGCAGCGGAATTACGTTGTAGCATTTGTGTGCTTGTGACTGTACATACGACTAGAAGTATGTTCAAAGCATATAAGTTTAACCACTTAAACATGATGGCTACCATAATGCGTGCCCCAAATGCGTGAACATGCGTTTCAAGTTATGGAAATGCCAAGGACAGTACAATACTGTTGTATACATACTTGCACATCAAGCTAACACTGTGGGTCTTGTATTGTTGTAATAGAGTTGAGTTTCCAACAAAAATGTTTCTGACGAGCTTTTGTTTTTACCTACCGCAAAAGATCGTTTGACAACCACACATTGCACAAAGTTCGATTTCTTTTCGCTGGAAAATGCGTCTTGGGTCAGTGGCACAAGGTGCAACAAAAGATGCTGATTAGGGTTGCCAAATATGGTAATTAGCAAATATTTTCTTTGGCATAATGAAGTAAAGACAGTAGCTGTGTCTCACTCAAAGTTGCAGATTTGTTATTAGTTTGTTGTACCTACCTACCTACAATATTTCTGTATTTAGGTTAGGTTTTTGATAATTTAGTTACCATTATTAGAGTAAGTACGTGGCTGTTAAAGAAGATTGTTATTAAATTAAGGCTATGAGAATGGATTTTATCCACAACGATGAAGATTTTTGCCTGTATTTCACCTGGTGGAAAATGATGACCAGGGCCGAAGGTGGAAGCGAAGCTTCACTCGATTGATTGATTACAAATAATCTTTTTCGTTTGTGAACGCTAAACAGTTATCGTTAATCGCATACTTACGGACTAGTATTACTTGTCTAACTAAGCCAATAAATTACAATAATGAGCATAGAGCCACTGCTCTACCCTCCTGTGCTTAAGATTGCTATGCACAACCCTGTATTAAGTCGCCGACTGTACACTTACGGACAATTTAACAGTCCCCAATTTGCAAGAATGCAGGTAGGTGTCGGTTGCCATTGAGCTCGTGGCGTGTGGGATGAACGAGCACGCTAAAGGCTGGGATAAGGGTGTATGTATGCACTTCTTTAGACTCTATACTGATTTTTAAAGTTCACGAGTATTTTACAAGTAGAGGGTCTTGGGGTAAATTACGAAGTTTTGAATATGAGATCGTTTAAAAAAAACACTCCTAATGCTGGTTTAAGGCATCCCCCAAGGATTTCCACAACGATCGATCCTGACTCCTGCGCTGCCGTATTCAGATGTTGCCCACTACCTTTACTAGATTGTTTGTCCACCGAGTGGTCGATTTAAGATGGTTTTGTAAGGACTTTCTTCAAATGATGTTTATTAAAAAATTAAGAAACAGTTTTCTATGAATCAGTTACACTTACAGCTAAAATGATGTTTATTAAAAAAATAAGAAACAGTTTTCTATGAATCAGTTACAGCTAAAAGCTAAATTATCGTCATATGCCTTTACAAAGAAGCGACGTCTAAGAAGATGAACATAAACTCACTTGTCAAACGACGGCAATCAGCAATCATAAACAAGTATGAGCACACCTTTAGATCATTGATAGAGCCGACCGGGTACTGCCATGTCATTGTTTCGTTTTATTTAACGACATCGCGACGTGGGATGCGAGATGTCTCGTAAATATCTCGATTTACAGCCGCAGGTCAAAAACAGTAAAGTCTGTGTAAAATGCCTGTTTTAGTGTTCCGTAAGTATTAAGCTATAGATGTATTTTAGACCCACTATTTTAGGTGGACAGCTGCTTTAGCTGATTTGGGATAAGATGATGCGATTCAGTCTGCTTCTTGACCATACATTTTAGTATACTTACCTACTTGCCTACCAACACATGGTGTGAACATTAATCTATTTGCTTATACAATCCAAAATGTTTGTACAATAATATTAAACTAAAATAATAGTGCATAAGAAATGTGTCAGTAAATTAATATGGAAAATAAAATTCACCGGTTCATTATAGGACACACCGACTTTATCAAACAAGTAATTTCAGCGAATGGAAAAAATCGACATTAACATAATACAGATTATAACCACATTGTAACGGTCACCGAACCTCTGAAAGGTACACTAAAAGTGGCAAATTTTTACGGTAACCTTTTTTGTGGCCGCAACTGTAAACCTTGTCATTCAGTCTTTAGTACGGGACAAATTGCTTATTGCGATGCTGATATGGCGTCAAATGATTTAACAAGGCGTATTTGGCGTTATGTAAATGAGTTAACAATGGTTCTTGTGGAGGAACAATTTGAGCTTCATTTGAAGGTTTGTTTTTCAGAAAACATCTACAAATACTTACGTAAGCATAAACTAAAAGTAATCATAACAACGTCATAATTCTTTCACGGCCTTCTCAATAATATCTTTTGCTCCAATTTATGTGACTGCGATGAATTTGAGTCAATGTTAATTTAAGCTTTCTGTTACTTAAACAATAAATCTGTCAAAAATAATAATGTAAGTCACATTGATAATATCAGTAAATTGACTTGTTTTTACCGAAATTAATGCCACTTTGGTATTTACTGCAAAGATCTGTCTCAAAAAATACAATAAAATATTGTAAAAAAATATTGCAACAAACTCAGGGCAACGTGCCAAGGCCTACATGAATGATATGCCGATATTAATGGTACACAAATGAATTATTGTTGTTATTAACGCAATAATTGCATTAATGATCAAACATGACAATTTGCAACGTGCGCACAGCAGTATTGCTGCGAGCTTATCGATAAAATTGACTTTATCGAGAGTCGCAAAGATTTCATAATTTGTGCTATGATAATGCTGTTTCTATGAAAAGTGGGTTGTGTTATCATTTACAGAAGATCTCGATATTAAATCTCTAAGAATATTTATGCATTTATCTTATACTCGTAAGTTAACAATGAAGGTTATCGTGGTAACTAGCAACTAAGATACAAAATTGCTCGGCTATCGTAAAAGCGCTCACTTGGCGCCACTAGATCAAATAGAACCATATTTACTGTGGCGTCAACTCGTGAGCACATACTCTATGAACATCGATATGTTTAGGAATTAAATCCAGAGAAGCTTATAAGTATCGAGTGGTCGATAGAGATATTTTCGCAACCCTGAACCGCAACTAAAGTTTGATTAGTCGGCTTGATGATTGATTTTTGATTGTAGTCATTAATCAATATCATAACTTACATTTAATCGTATATTTCGTTAGAAATCTTTCGATATATCAAGGGCATTGCAGCGTAATGTCTAAGTATGCAGTGTAACGGTAATTTATATTATACGAGTATCCTCTGGAGAAAGGGGCAAGGTCAAATATAGTTATTTAATTTTTAGCGTTAAGAGTCGCATCTAGGTCGTAATCATAATCGTAGGGTAGGTATACTCAACATTGATGAAACAAACGCTGGCCGTAACAGCGTATTACACTTGAAAATTTCGACGGGTTCATCCAGTGTCTAAGTAGCTCAGTTGGAAGAGCAGTCGCCCTTCCCGCCTTAGGCAGTTCGAATTTTTCAAGTTATTTATAATTTTCAAAGGTCAAATATGTTAAAGTTTATTTGAATATTTTAATATACAGGAGTTTTGACTTTAAAAGCATATCTCTATTTATCTAAGAATATATTGAAATACGTAGGAACTTTAATTAAATCTTTCGGCCTTTTGACTAAGAACGAAGTAAGTCGTAAGCTAAAATAAATAGATAAGTACCTACTACAAGGACGCAAAAACTTGTCCCATATGAAATTATTTTTTGTTGCAATGTTGGCAACAGGTACAAATTTTCCAAAATCATTCATTCGATTGCTGGTTACATTAATTTATTTTCATTTATGCAGTTGACGTTTTCAGAAAATTAGACTGAATCTTATTCAAGTTAGTTACTCGCTTTGTTTGAGAGTTTCAGTTGTAGTCAACCACGCAATATAGGTATTTAAATTAAACCTACATAGGTATCGTTAAAATTTACTGCATTGAGCATGCATGAATGACTTTTATTAGTAGGTTTTACCTTTCCAAAACCGAAGGTGTCCAATTTATTTGCACGTACGTGTAATAACTTTGGTTGTTTTATTACACCGAAAGTTACGTTTAACTAAACCCACAGTGGTTACAATAAACTGCATAAATAATCGTTTGTCGGTGTTGTTAGATACTAGTGTAGGTTAAGCAGTAGGCAGCTCCTGATTTATGTGTGAACATGAATTATAGTGATTCGTACAATCACTAAGATAAATTATTATTGTTTATTGTAATGTTTATGAGAGCGCTGTTTGTATATGGAAATAAGCTCTACTCTTTTACTTAAAAGTTAGTTAGATATTGAGCTCAAACTCAAGTGTAGTAAATAACTAAGTATAAAAGCCTTAAGCCCAGAACTACATAATTAGGTCTCAGATTTTTATGTAATTTGGCATATTACAGTTTTTTTCATAGGCATCGCAGGATAACTACTATTGGGTCGTTTTCGTACCTCTGGGCATATATGGGATGAGGTCTAAAAACATTCGGAAAATATTTAGTAACTCGTGATTTAAAAACACAGATTGAGAAAACTGGTTAAAAAAAGAAAATTATTTGATCAAATCAAATATAATGACCAGTAACACGAAACGGACATAGCCCGACGGATTAGCAAGCTGAAGTGGCAATNCACAGATTGAGAAAACTGGTTAAAAAAAGAAAATTATTTGATCAAATCAAATATAATGACCAGTAACACGAAACGGACATAGCCCGACGGATTAGCAAGCTGAAGTGGCAATGGGCAGGGCACATAGTACGCAGAACTGACGGCCGATGGGGCAGAAAGGTTCTGGAATGGAGGCCGCGTACCGGAAAACGCAGCGTGGGACGTCCACCTACAAGGTGGACTGACGACATCGTAAAGGTAGCAGGGAAGCGCTGGACGCAGGCCGCTACCAATCGATCAACATGGAAAGCATTGGGGGAGGCCTATGTTCAGCAGTGGACGTCCTGTGGCTGAAATGATGATGATGATGATGATGATGATGAACACCAAACAAATATTGATATTATAGGAAATAGGCAAAAAAGGTGTCCATGTTTTTTTTGTTGCGAAGTGTCTTTATTATAAAAACCTATAGCAAATTCTGTTCTAACTACTTTTATATGAAAAAATACTCGAATACAATAAGTCGTCCCACCGCACTTTACACTAATCACATAGTATCTTCACACGAAAGTGCATTAAATCAAATGCAGACTTAATGCATTTGCTTTAGCTAGTGCAGTTTGTTCTGCAAATGGAGTTTATTTGCCGAGTACAGTCGTCATGCGATGGCATAACTTAGTTTCATTTATTATTTGCTTAGGAAATTATATAAAAATAAAAAATAATTGTACTAAAAAATATTAATTCTGTTTGTCGAAGCAGTTGCAAAGGTAGGATCGGTTTTTCTAATGATTCCCTTTAATTGCGTTTTATAAACCTGCAGTCCTGTAACTGGAGTACAGGATTGCAGGTATCCTGTAAATGAGCTTAAAACTCAATTGAACTGAAATATGCGATTGGTAGGATTAATATTGAGACATCACATACTCTTTAGTGTGTTCTTAGAAGTTGATTCTTATGTAATAATTCTTTCAAAAGAAAAGATTACTTATAATAACGTCGTATCGAGTAACGGTAATCAGTGTCACTGTGCAATCTACGAGTGTTAAATGCTTTTGACAAAAAAATAACTTTTATTTGCACTTTATAAATATCGACAAAAATATAAAAGTACAGCCCTACACTGTCATAAATCCACGCCAATCCCCATTGTGCTCCGCGCATGCGAAGTTATAAACTGAAATGAACTTAAAGCGATTAATTTCCAACTACGTAACTTTCCAACGATTCTAGTAACTTTGCAATTTAACTACATTACCGCGATAAAGTTATGATCGGAAAAACCTGATTGCAACAATACTTAGTAACAAACGTGATTAGTCGTGGACTAATGTCTTTTTTTTGCATTTCCATTTCCGGTATGCACGCTACTATTTTTAGGAATGCAGGCCAATTTTATTTTGGTTCCATTTAAACGTAGGCACGTATCACATAAAGCTTCAACAGTGTCATCTTATGAAACTGTAATTGAAGCTTTTTGTATCAAAAATAACAGACTACTTAATGTATTTAGTGACTGTACACCAGAATATAAAGTATTACTAATAACATTTAAATCAACTAAGTACAAATTCACAACTATGCTTGAGTTGAGTCCAATAAGGGTCTGTTAGGAATAAGAAACGTAGATAAGAAATCTCAGCGAGGTATGCAAAGATGGTAACCTTAAATCAGAAGTGGGCTAATGATATTAAATAGCGGAGTAAGAAACGTCGATTTTTATCATTTCCTCGACCCAGTGGTCCTTACTCCTTATTATCTGTTATGTAAGTAGGTATTTAAGAATTTATCAATCAAACAGTATAAAACATCAAAGGTAGGTGCGCCAGTAAAAAAGAATATGACAAAATTGCCCGATTTTATGGCCCATGCAGTTTACTGCCGCAAAAAAGCAACTGCGGCCTTTGGTACCGTTGGAAATACCAAACACAGCTATTTGCACTG